CTGTTTTCTCCTTCACAGATGCTGCCAGACCTGCTGAGCTTTTTCAGCAACTTTGTTTTTGTTCCTGATTTACAGCATCCGCAGTTCTTTTGGTTTTTATTTATGTTACCCACTGAGTAATGGTTTACAGACTGAGCAACATATCCCCAGTTAGAGGATGAAAGCAAGTTTGCATGCTTGCAACTAGGACAGTGAATGCTTTGAAATGCTTAGAGAAAAAGGAAGCTGTTTCTAGATAAGTATACTACACTCTTAGTTGAATAGTTTTAAGTGAATGTTATTTGAGTCTAAATGCTTTGATTTTGGAGTTCTGCACCTAACAGCTGTGATTCAATTACTCCTGCCAAACGGAAACATTTTCATCTGCCTTTGCAGCTAGTGTGTTTCTCCAGTAATTTCTGTTTGTGACCCTTATGAATTGGTGTGTTTCAATAAGGTCACCTCTCATTCCTCTAAACTCCAATGAGTAGGCCCAATCTACTCAATCTTTCCTCATAATAGTCTCTTCATACTCAAGATCAGTTTAGGAAACCTTCTCTGGACTGCATCTAGTGCCAGGTCGATCTTTCCTTAGACATGGGGCCCAATACTGTTCACGATACGGAGGTGCCAGTGTTGGAGTGGGATGGACAAGGTCAGAAATCACATGACACCAGGTTATAGTCGACAGGTATATTTGAAATCACAAGCTTTTGGAGTGCTGCTGCTTTGTCAGTGAAGTCCCTTTGCCTGAGGAAGGAGCAGCACTCTGAAAGGTTGAGATTTTGTATAAACCTGTTGGACTATAACCTGGTGTCGTGTGATTTCTGACCTTTAATACTGTTGACAGTATCGCAGCTGTTGTTTAACTGATATCGCTTCAGCAAAACCTCCCAACTTTTACACTATATAAAATATACTACAAGGTCTGATCTAAAGCAGCCAATGCACTGCCCATTGCGGAACTAGTCTCAAAGGTTCTCTCTTCATAAGCCCTTTTTATCCCGTGGTAAGAAAGCAATTGTCAGCATTGAACAATATTTGGTAGGTTTTTTTTCGCAGAACTCCATGAATCACTGTTACGTTCTAAGCTAGGTTTCAATGGCAAGTTGTTAAATTCAACCATTGGTTGAAATACAGTAATCTCTCCATTATCTGGCACACATAGCGAATGAAGGGAGGGATGGCAGTCGGTGGGTTGCCGATTCGCTGAATCTGCAGGCTACCTGAGTGGCAGCTGGGAGAACTCGACATGTCGCTGCCACAAGATGAATGTGCCAGGACTGCTCATAGATACTGTTAATAAAGTTTTGATCAAAGGAAGAGAGAGGGTGGCAAACAAGTGATCAGTTCTCAGAGTGAGGAATCCTACCCCCAATGCAATAAGTCAGTCACTGTGCCTTTGTAACAGTGTAACTTCTTTCAGGGGATTACCATTCTGATTTCCTCTTTTGAATATCACCCTCTTGCATTGTGGGAAAACTACTGCATACAGTAGGAAGGCATCTCTTTATTTGCCGGCTGTATGAGAATTCCGGATGTTTGGGCACTGGACAACGTAGTCCTTGTTGCTATAATAGTGTACTTAATTAATACATTGGTAATACATTTCTCTGAACATACCAGAGCAAAACAGGAATGTTGAAGTCAAGAACAAAAGACATTTGTTTACTTTAATTATTTCTGTAAAGAAGTAATGAGAAGTGTGGAAACCATCATTGCTGACAATTCTAGCTGAATCTGTTTTAAGAGACCGTTTATTTTTGGATTAAAGTTTTGGTTAAAGATACAGGTGTAAGATCACCTAAAATATTTGTGCGATTCTAAAATTCTGCTTTAAAATGTCAAATAGAAGATAAGGAACAGAGAGAACTTGTTATGAAGAATGATGTAGCACAGTATAGAGACAAAGTATAATTATAACTCTTTCACGTGTAAGTAGCCCTATTATACCTTGTTTCCAAGATGTGATATTGTGCAAGACCAAACCAGATCTTCTGAAAGGGCTCCACTGAAAATGTTAACTCTTTCACATCTTCTGTAATTCCAAAATTTTCAGTCTGCTTTTCCTATGTTACAGGCTTTTCTGAATATCTGAAAAAGTCAGAGATATCAATTAAAATGGTTTTGTTTGAGTGGGAATCCAGACACGGTGAAATGGAATTTAGGTTTGTAAAAAGAAATTTAACTAGTGGAGATTCTTGGGCTTGTGATATCAAAATTCACTTGCAGAAATGCAAGTCTGCTGTTACTTCAAACTTCTTGTGCATTGGTCTGTAAAATGGTGAGATGAAAAGCAGCGCATGCATGTGTATTTTGATCATTGTGTACAACTTGCTTCCTTGGTTACTGAATAAGGCCAGCGCTATTAAGTAAATTGGCATTTGCAAAATATTTTCACTTCTATTCTTCAAGCTGCGCAATGTTTTCTACTGTTTGTTTTAGCCACAGGCATTAACTATATCACCATAGTCATGTTTTCAACAATTTTTAATTTTGTTTGGGATAGGTTGGATTTAAAAGCAGATTGCACAACACAGGAATGGACATGCCTGTACAGATAAACCTATTCTGTGACATTCCTGTTAGGATCATCCATTAACCAAGCAAATATAATTTTCAAGTGGTGAGTATACTCCAATTGAGTTCAGACTCTTAAGCGAGCATTGATCTGAGTCTTTAACTTTCTGTTCCTTCCAGATAATATTTACATTTGAACATTGTTTGAAGGGCTGCAAGAGAGTATTATAAATCTGGCCTACAATGGCTCAATGAGTTTAGTTAAAGAATAATTGAGCCCCATCTATCATATATTGCAGTACCATCCACTGGTTGCCCCTCAGTCATGTTTTCTAAATATTTGATATTCTTTATGAACCCATTAGGAAATATTATTATACACCTCTCGAACAAATTGAATGTGAACCCAAACCTCCTGGCTCAGAGGTAAGGACACTACCATCACACCACGAGAGCCCCTTTTTTGAACAAATGCTGCAATCTGGCTTTCAATGCTGAGTTGAAGCACCTTTTGATTAGTGGTGGTAGAAAGTAGCCACTGTTCTGTATTAACAACAAGTCCCTTGTTTTACCAAGTATGATGTAGTGTATTGCATAATACTGTAGCAAGATGAACAACTTGCATCGACCAAGTTAGCTATAATTGCAAAGATGATCAGGAGGCAGAGATGGCACATTTGTCCTCACAAGGACTTTGAGGTTAGGCTGCTTTTTCTCCAGGCAAATGCATATCATCAGATTGAATACAGCTTCAACATTAACTCTTTCAGGACCATTACCTTTTACAACTCAATCAACCAGGAAAAGTTCCAAGTGTAATACCAGGTATATGGAGTGTGTTAACAGAGGTAATAGTATTGACAGTTTCAGTGCACGCAAAATGAACATCAGCCAAGGTTCTCTCACTCCTGATTGCTATTAACACATTTCTGTGGCTATTATTCAATAAACTCTGGCTGCCAGAGTCAATAAATGTGAAGCTGGAAAAGCACAGCCGGTTAGACAGCATCTGAGGAGCAGGGAAGTCAACAGTTCAGGCTAAAACCCTTTGTCAGGATTGGGGTTGGGGGGAGGGGAGCCCAGAAATAAATAGAGGGAGGAGGCTGGGACTGGGAGGAGGGTAGGTGAAATGGAGATAGATGGATGCAAGAAGGGGTTTACTTTGGTTAGTGGGAAGGGTGGAATGGAAAGTTGATTCAGAAGATGGATATGTTGGGAATGGAGAGATTTTGAAGCTGGTGAAGTCAACATTCAGACCATTGGGCTGTAAGCTCCCAAGGTGAAATATCAGGTGTTGTTCTCCCAGTTTGTGTTTGGCCTCATTCTGACAGTGGAGGAAGCCAAGGGTGGATATATCACCGGGAGAGTGGGAGGGGGAGTTAAAGTGGAACGCAACCAGAAGGTTGCACTGGTTAGTGCATGCAGAGCGCAGATGCTCTGCAAGCTGGTCCCCAAGTTTGCATTTGGTCTCCCTGATATAGAGGAGACCACATCAGGAGCAATAGATACGGTAGATGAGGTTTGGTGAAATGCAGGTGAATCTCTGCCGAATTTGGAAGGATTGTTTGGTGCCTTGGACAGAGGTGCGAGGGGAGGTGTAGGGGCAGGCGTAGCACCTCCTGTGGTTGCAGGGAAAGATACCAGGTGTGGTGGTGGCATCTGATTGTAGGTGTGGAAATGACGGAGGATGATGCATTGTATTCAGAGGTTAGTGGGATGGTATGTGAGGACCAACAGGACTCTATCCTTATTGTTGTGGGGGGAGAGGGTTTGAGGGCAGAAGCAGAGGAAATAGGGAGGGATGCGGTTGTGGGCATCCTTAATAACATAAAAGGGGAAACTATGGTCTCTAAAGTAGGAATATGTCTGGGAAATCCTGGAGTAGAACGCCTCATCCTGTGACTCCCACCTACGTTCAGGACACAACCCATGCCCTCCACCTTTTCCAAAACTTTCAACTCGCAAGCCCCCAACATGTCCATCTTCTGACTTACCTATCCACTCCATCCTTCCCATTGTCCAACCACAATAACCCCCTACCTGCATCCACCTATCTCCATCTCACCTACCCTCCTCCCAGCCCCACCTCCATCCCTCTTGTCTATTTCTGGGCTCCCCTCCCCATCCCCAGTCCTGACGAAGGATTTCAACCCAAAACGTTGACTTTCCTGCTCCTCAGATACTGTCTGACCGGCTGTGCTTTTCCAGCTTCACATTTATTGACTCTGGCTGCCAGCGTCTGCAGTCCTTATTGTCTCCAAACTCTGGCAGCCCTCAGTTTTTCAGATTCAGGCAAGCTTGTTATGTTCACACCACCAGCTTGAGGGAAGAAAATCTTGAAACCACTATCTTGCTCCATTATCCAAGACAGCTCTGACATTCTGAGATGTGACATCTGAATTGTATCTTTGCAGTTTAGACTCAAGAAAGTTTTAGTTCATTAACCTATGAACAACTACATTTTATATCAATATGCATGAAATCGTGCGTAGCATTTAGCAAACTTAGAAACCGTAGGTACAGTGCCTATTATTCATAATCACAAGCTGTTCTTAAAGTAAATAAAAAAAAAGACATTAAGCACTTGGGGCAGTGCAGAAAAGAGACACAAGATTGAACCCCTGCATCTGGGCTGTGCCTTATGTGAAAGACTGCAGAAACCTGAGTTCTTCAGCCAAGATAAGATGATGATTGCCAGCTATATAAGATTGCCAAAGGTTAACCTGGAATATGACCTTGAATTGTCTGTGGTCGCAGAATTTGGGACATACATTAAAATTAGCAAAATATCTTTTTAGCCCTGGTATCTTGAAATTATTTTTCATAACAAGAGTGATCAACTCAAAGAATATATCTCGCCAAATAGAATAGAAATTATCTAAGGAATAACTGAGGTTGCAATGGGGAACTTTATGATCACTTGAGGTGAATGAATGAAGATGGACAAAATGGTTATCCACACCCCATTGTAACCTTTGTAAAGATCTTGGAGAGAGAGAGGTGACCTAATAGAGGTTTATAAAATCATGAGGGATATAGATAGGGGTGTTAGCCAGAGGCTGAAAGACATAGAGAGAGAGAGAAAGGTACAAGCTGCTGGCGTTGCTGCCTGGTGACATATTAGCCAGAGGTGGCAGAAAGATAAAGAGAGAGGAGTACCAGCCACCGACATCGCTAACAGGAGGTACTGAATGCAAAGGTGCTGACACGAAGAAAGAAGCAGCTTGTGAACTAAAAATGACTTGCACCCAGGTGCTAGTTTGAGCCAATTTAAACCGGTTTGAATTGACTGAGTTCTGCAAAAAGTAAGAAAGAGGAGGTAATTCAAAAGTCTTATTTGGATGAGAAATAATGAGGTAATGGTACCTAGGTCTCTGGGCCAGGGCCAATAAGGTAAAGGCATGCGATAAGTGCATTAGCCTGAGCCAACAGGAAGAAGACAGCACGCCGTGAGAGAGACAGGAGAAAGAAAAAAAAGACCCTCGGGGCATGCAGCCAGCGAAAACTCTGGAGACCAACCATCGCAGATGTCAAGGACATGATGACGACATTGAGTGCAGCACCTGGCCAGCGTCAGCCCTCATCAGCAGCACTAGCTATTCTGATCAGTTATTAGCTTTTATATTCTGTGACTACTTGGGGAGTGCCAGAGGACTCTAGTGGGTGTATAAGTATATCCTAGTTCAGTTTGTGGGACAATATATAAGGTCTAGCTATGTGATAAGAACATTTAAGCAACATGTGTCTTGGTTAATGCATTAATAAGGTAACTTGTGAGGTTATGAGAATTGACTCTTCTGCTCTCTGCATAAGCTGATAACTAGAGCTGGTGTTCTCCAGGCTCCCAACAACAGGGTTAATAGTAGGTGTCTTTTTTTTCTTTATTCATTCACAGGATGAGGGCGTCGCTGGCTAGGCAGCATTTATTGCCCATCCCTAATTTCCCAGAGGCCAGTTCAGAGCCAACCACCTTGCTGTGGGTCTGGAATCAGATGTAGGCCAGACCAGGTAAGGATGGCAGTTTCCTTCCCTAAAGGACATCAGTGAGCCAGATGGGTTTTTCCAACAATCAACAATGAATTCACGGTCTTCATTAGATACCTACTTCCAGATATTTATTGAATTCAAATTCCTCCATCTGCCATGGCAGAATTTGAACCCAGCTGCCCAGAATGTTATCTGGGTGTCTGGATTAACAGTCCAGCGATAATTTCACTAGGGCCATCGCCTCCCCCACGATTTCCCTGAGAAGGGGGATTTCAATACTAGGGGGCATATTTTTAAGGTGAGAGGAAGGAGATTTTAAAAAGTCATGAGGGGCAACTTTTTTACACAACGGGTGGTTTGCGTGTGGAATGAACCTCCTGAACAAGTGGTGGATGTGGGCACAGTTACAAAGTTTCAAAGACACTTGGAGAAGTACATGAATAGGAAAGGTGTGGAGAGATATGGGCTAGGAGGAGGCACATGGAACTAGTTTAATTTGGGATCATATTCGGCAGGAACTGGTTGGACCGAACGGTCTGTTTCCATGCTGTATGACTCTACGAAAGGCACAAAGATACAAGCAGATT